AAAGTCACAATTTGGGGCCGAAAGGTAAATAATTTTAAACTGGGAAAGTGGAAAATAAAGCAGCGGTGAAATAACGACTGCAGAATATCCCTCGCTGTTCTTTTTTCGATAAGCCTAATATATAACCCAGGTGTAACCATAACAAACTTTTCACATGCTTTTGTTTTTATTTTATACCTCTGACATTTTTTCCTCTGACATTTTTACCTCTGACATTTTTTCCTCTGACATTTTTACCTCTGACATTTTTACCTCTGACATTTTTACCCCTGACATTTTTACCTCTGACATTTTTACCTCTGACATTTTTACCTCAGACATTTTTTCCTCTGACATTTTTTCCTCTGACATTTTTACCTCTGACATTTTTACCTATGACATTTTTACCTCTGACATTTTTTCCTCTGACATTTTTACCTCTGACATTTTTACCTCTGACATTTTTTCCTCTGACATTTTTACACCGAGCCACATGTTATAAATAAACGACAGGATACCTGTTATCATCGGGGCCCCAACCGGAAACCAATAAATATTGAGCTCTGCAAGATACAATGGCCAATTAAAATAATCCAATTCATATTCTCCAAAACACAACCTTCCCATGAGGTATTCTGCAGCAGTGTGTAATACAAATAATAACCTTTATATGTATATATTAACATATATACACATACACATATATATATGCGAAGAGGCAAAAATGCCAATTACACATGTCACAACGCAAATTCCAACAATTCGCGTGTTTAGACCCCCCCCCCCCCGAGGCCACTCCGTGACCCCCTTTCGGATGAGGTGAGGGCGAAACAAACCCAATCTTCAGACCACTGATCTGAGAAACATGACCGGGACAAAATTCCCTCACGGCCCACGACTGCGGAGCCATTCGTTATAAAACCGTAGATATTCGTGCGACCAAGCAATTTGCTCCAAATCCGAGTAAACTTTCAATTTGATATAGCATTACCCTGCATGTCCTTTGGGAATACAATTCTCCTTTAATTCGTTAACACACTCACTAAATAATGTTAAACCCACTGTATACAGCGATAAATCGGTATAACGAGGTTCTTAATTGGTCCCGTTAAATTTACCCTGCTACAGCAGAAATGCCGTTGTATATAATCCTGGACCTAATACAGGTAACAACAAAATATAATATAACGAGCTGGGACCAGGAATGTTATTCTGCTATCTTAACAACATTGTTACATATGAAATCTCCTTTAATCGAGATTACCCTGTATCGTATATATTCGATTGCTTGACCTAAAGCATGTAAAACAATTTCCATGCATTATTGCATTTATATCTGTGAGACAAAACACATATCATGTCAATCATAACTTATCTCCTAGACCAACAAAACCATTATTACAAAATCGTATTGCTTGCAAAACAATAATGCCAATATATATATAATCGAATTAACAACAACGACAAAATGTGGTATAACGAGCTGAGACCAAAATTGTTACTCAGCTATATTAACGTTGTTATATATAAAAATCTCCTTTAATTGTGATGCAGGAAAGCCCCAACCTGCCAAGCATTGCTTCGACATCAAGATTACTTGACTGAGGGGAAAAAACAATCATGATTAATCCATTATGTGAATCACTTGACACGCTTCCTGACCACTTAATATTTAGTAAAACATACTATCGAATACACTTGAAAAACGTAAGGAGGAAAATGAAGTTGGGGGTGGTTGAGGGTAAATTAATTTGCCACCGAATAATGTCTATGACCATCCTCTAAAAAATCTGCAAGGTGAATGAGGATTCTCACGCCAACACCGTGAGAACCAATATATCCCGGCTAAAATAATTCCATATATAGATTCGAAACATACATTGCGCACATTCCGTTTATAGATACGCGTACATGAAAGAAGCCGCGCGGCTGACTCAAAGGGTGTCGGCATGTTATTGTTTTCTATTAAGATGCCGCTAAGGGTCATCACAGAAGAGAAGCCGCCGCGAACTCGTGATGTCACTGATGAATGTAAACCATTTATATCGCCCTTCGTTCGATAAAATTTCTTACATTCACAGTAACAAAATGAAACGGGATGCGTTTTTGCGGGTACTTGAGATTTAATAGAGGATGGAATCTTGTTACCCTGAATATCAACATCATGACAATAATAACAACTACGACACAAACTTTCCCAACTGAATATAAAATACTTTTACTTAAACGTTACACTGCTCCAATCCGCCCCAGGGAAGGACCCGGGTATCATTTTCGAATCTTTTGATCAATTTATACAAGTATCTGCACATGAAAAACTGGATGGAGTCGGCATGTCCAATCCATAGTACTCTCTGCATCGGGGCCACCAACAGACGAGAACTTGTGTACAACCCCCACAGCCCGTAAAAAGGCGACACTGTTTCCTCATTAAAGAGGGCAAACAGAGTTTACCTTCTCATTTGGAATTTAACTGTGAGTACCACAAAGTGGGCTATACGTATAACACCCCTCTGCATACAAAGAAGACACACAGTTCCACTGCATTAAACAGGCGAACAGATGCCTACTTTACAGGCGGGTACATGTTATAAATATCATCGGGGCCCCCACCGGAAACCAATAAATATTGAGCTCTGAAAAAACTGGATGGAGCCGGCATGTCCACTCCAAAGTACTCTCTGCATCAGGGCCACCAACAGACGAGAACTTGTGTACAACCCCCCACAGCCCGTAAAAAGGCGACACTGTTTCCTCATTAAAGAGGGCGAACAGAGTTTACCTTCTCATTTGGAATTTAACTGTGAGTACCACAAAGTGGGCTATACGTATAACACCCCTCTGCATACAAAGAAGACACACAGTTCCACTGCATTAAACAGGCGAACAGATGCCTACTTTACAGGCGGGTACATGTTATAAATAAACGACAGGATACCTGTTATCAGCGGGGCCCCAACCGGAAACCAATAAATATTGAGCTCTGCAAGATACAATGGCCAATTAAAATAATCCAATTCATATTCTCCAAAACACAACCTTCCCATGAGGTATTCTGCAGCAGTGTGTAATACACATAATAACCTTTATATGTATATATTAACATATATACACATACACATATATATATGCGAAGAGGCAAAAATGCCTATTTCCGCCACACGGGCACCGCCCGCCGCCACTGAGCGTATATATTTTTATCGCGTAATGTACGCATATAAACTGACATATTAATTTCACCCTAAATTATAATGGGTTACTTTCGTTTCACTACGCGTTTTAAACGCGAACACGAACTTGAACCTATTGAATTCAACCAATTACCTTAATTTCATTTCAATACCAACGTTGTGCGATTTCGAAGCTTGAGCTAAATCAACCAACTAACCAAAATAACGTAATAACCACCTTTCGTTTTCAACCAAAAACAATAAATTAAAAACACCTTTATGACCTCGACTGTGACTATGCTCATGAAAGCACTCTGCAATAACAGTAAGTATAGTAAAACAAAGCCACGAACGGCTATATATATATATATATATGAACTAAGTACACGAATTTGAACGTGAACATATTGAATCCAACCAATTAGCCAAAATAACGTGATAACTACATGTACCTTTCATTTCCAACCAAAAACTATAAGTTAAAAGCACATTTATGGCCACGACTGTGACTAAGCTCATGAAAACACTCTGCAATAATGGTAAATAAAACAAAGCCACAAAACGGCTATATATATATATATATATATGTACAAAGTACGCGAACTTGAACTTGAACATAATGCATTCAACCAATTACCATAATATCTTTTCAATACCCACGTTTTGAAATTTCAAAGCTTAAGCTAAATCAACCAATTAATCAAAATAACAAGATAACTACCTTTCATTTTAAACCAAAAGCAGTCTTCAATGAAAAACGCGTTCGTGGTCCCAACTGTGACCAAGCTCATGAGAACGCTTTGTAATTTCCATTAACTGAAATACACAGCTTCAAAATCCGGGTATATACACTGTTGGTCATAATGGTGGAATAATTATTTTTACCCCAATTTATTGAATGATTTTGACAATGATTTATTCCTAATAGATCCAGATAATAGTATAAATTCTCATATTTTATTGAATGACAATTGGGGAGTGTTTGTTTTGCGTGATTGCTGAAGCATGTGTATGCTACTAGGCTAATCAACTAGGGGACCTACGTCCTTAAGTCATAACTGACAGTAATGGGGATTAATGCCTCATAAAAGGGCACTAATATAGCACATCGATACGGTTTTTAATCTGGGGGTTCACACTAACGAGGCCATTGCTTAGCCGATAAATCATGGCTGTACGCAGCGGGCGCAAGGGTACGTCGACGCCCCCACAAAAACGAAAAAACAAAGAAAGTGCAATAATTTTTCAATAATTCATTGCATTTTACCCCTACCCCAACAAAATAAAATCTTCTATGTGTGCATGCCTTGAACCATAATGCATGGCCCTACAGAGGATTTTCTCCTGTTGGGGACTGCGGGAAAATGCAATGAATTATTGACAAATTATTGCATTTTCTTTTGTTTTTGTTTTTGTGGGGGCGTTGACGTACCCTAGCGCCCGCTGCGTACAGTCATAATTCATTGGCTAAGCAATAGCCTCGTTACTGTGAGCCCCTAGGATCAAAACCGTGTCGATTTGCTACATTAGTGCGCTATTACGAGGCATTAATCCCCATTACTGTCAGTTATGACTTAAGGACGTAGGTCCCCTAGTTGATTAGCATGGTAGCACACACGCTTTAGCAGTCACGCAAAACAAACACTCGTCAATTGTCATTCAATAAAATCTGAGAATATATACTATTATCTAGATCTATGGGAAATAAATCATTGTCAAAATCATTCAATAAATTGGGGTAAAAATAATTATTCCACCATTATGACCAACAGTGTATATGTACATAAACTTAACATGTTAATATTAACCATTAGCCTAATAAGTCTCTTTCGCGTTACATAAAAGTGTTATGCTTTTAAAGCTCGAGCTAAATAAACCAATTACCCGAAACCTAATAACTACCTTTAAACATCAAAATGGGGAAATATATACTGTATATATATATATATATATATACATTAATTAAATCAACTTAACATCTTAATAAAAACCACTAGCCTGATAAGTCTCTTTTGCTATAACGTACGAGTTTTGTAATTACAAAGCTTGAGCTAAATAAAAATAGACCAATTACCCGAAACAAACGTGATTACTACGTTTCATTATGACTTGAATAACAAAAAACTCCACGAAAATCTATGCCATGTTTTCCAACCCCTTAATAAGGCTATGAAGAAACATATTATTTCCGGTCTCGGAGAGATGAATACCATCTCTCCTAAACAGCTCGCGCCGCTCGTGCCTGATGCCCAGGTGAGTCAAAGCACTGCCCCCGATCGTGCGGCATATGCGCCTGGCGTGCTTGTTTAGAGCTCGCCGCGTCCGATCAATTTTGAGCTGCTCGTCTTTACTGAAGCCGCTGTAGGTCCTGCGCGGCAAAATATCCGACCAAATCATGCGGGCATTGGGGAAATGTTCGTGCAATCGTCCGAGCGTTGTATCCAAAAGCAAGAACAATTCGTGTTTTTTAGCTTGCCCGACGTCGTTCGTCCCCACGTACAGAACTAGGTGCGACGGAGAGGAACCGGGCAGCACCCGTTGGACATGTCCACTTAGTTGACCTAGCTTAAGGCCCCTCCTTCCTCTCCAAACGACGTTGGCTGCCGACCCCAAACCTTGTTTTCCCTTACGATGCGCGAAGGCGGCTAACCAGTGGATCATGGAATCGCCTATGAGCAGAATCGTATGTGACTGGCAACCTACCGCAGGAAAGAAAGAAAAAAAAAGAAAAACTTCTGGCAGCTCATTGTTGTGTCAAAACCACCAATAAATTGTAACATTATTGATCTTCAACTGCCTCATACATAAACATGAGTCAATTATACATTCTATTTAAACATAGGCCTCTCCGAAGAAATGATAATTCTTCTTAACACACTTCCTTAACTCGAATGATAATTTTTTTATTTTTTATTTTATTTATTTTATTTTTGTTTTAAACTTTGGTATTAAGTTGTATTTAGGTTTTGTTTCTATTCTGCTTCATGTCGCTTGTGTGTTAATATTGTAGTGTAAAGACCCCAAGGAAGAACAGTGGTGTTCTATCAACACTGTTGAATTGGGCTTTCCACCGATTTGTTTGTCTATGTACATGTATAAATATTTTGTTGATTTCGGAAATAAAAACAACAACAAAGAAGTAAATATGGTACAATACATCATGAATTATGCAATAGGCAGCATATTGATACGCACATATCTCTTTTGCGCGTCCGAGGACCAGCGCCCCATTTTCTGAATTTCTCCTGAGTCAAAACCGGCCATAGCAGCTGATGTGGCCGCACCTATTCTGAAAGAATGTGATGTAAATCGTGCTACTGGCAGATCCAAAAAGGACAAACACTTCCTTAAAACCGCCGTAAATTCCCGCCTAGTCACATGATTCCCATCGAACCGACAGAAAAAGGCGCCGCTGGATTGCGGCCTGATGGCCATATAGTCTAGAACGGCCTGCACGGGGCACAATGGACAACCGTCAGCTTCTGGCATTAGGATATAACAACCTTGTCCCTGTTGGTCCGTTTTAGAAGATCGAATGTGCAGCCTAACGTGCCGCCTTGGTGCCGAACCATCTACAATAACATCCCGACCTTCCAGGCTGACGTCAGACGTTGACCGAGAATTAGCAGTAAACTCTCCAATCCGCAAAAAAAAAAAAAAAATGCTGCTAAGAAACATGCCTTGAACAGGATAGCATCATAAGAATTACACACAGCGGGAAGCGCAGACAACAGTTTCTTGAGAATTGGCATAGTTATCGGACAACGCACATCCGTTCGAGAATGCCAACGGCGGCAACCGACTAACAAACGACTTACGACAAAGTGTTTAGTCACGTCTAAAAGCCCTTCCGTCTGCAAACGGGAAGATATGCCAGATATGTAGGTAACTATAGTTGAAGCTGCATATCCCTGCAGTGACAGGTAAGAAATAAACAGCGCCATCTGTTCGTAAGAGTACGGTGTATTGCTGGCTGGAAAATATAACAACAAGAACTTACGAAATGATTCCCACGCCTGCTGATACACTGCATGGGTATTACGGGCCCTAGATTAAACTAACAAGTCTGACCACTCTTGGTGAAGATCTTCCACAGATGGGGCGGCAGGGGCGTTGCCTCGTGATCTGCCCCTGGAGCAAGCTGACGGAAGCGGGAGGCCTGAAAACGAGAAAGAGCATCAGCAATGTTATTTCTCTCCCCTGGAACATAGCGAGCTCTAAACCTAATGTTGTGGCGCTGACAGATCAATACTAATTGACGAACTAGGAACATGATCATAGGACACTTAGAGGTCTGGGCATTTACAACTGAGACCACGGTTTGGTTATCCGACCAAAACAATACTCTCTTGTTGCCCAGGTCGCCACCCCATAATTGCAAACCCACTACGATGGGGAACAATTCGAGAAAAGCAATGGAATACTTAGGGGTGCAGACCCCCTCCGGCCATCTGCCCTGTGTCCACTTGCCATTGAAATAGACCCCAAAACCAATACTCCCAGATGAATCCGAATAAAATTGCAAGTCAGGTGTGCTCCAAGTATGGCGTTCGCCAAATAATACTCTACCATTGAATGCCAAGAGAAAATGTAGCCATGCCTTTAAGTCCTCCCGCGCTCCTAACGAAATCCGAATCATATGATGGCGCTCTTTAACGCCTATTGTCAAATCAATTAGCCGCCGCAGAAAGGCTCGCCCTGGAGCAACCGCCCGGCAAACAAAGTTCAGGCTGCCTATGACTGACTGCAATGTTCTTAGCGTCACCTTTTCTTTACCTAAGACTGTGCTAATTAACGCCTGAAGTGACAAGAGTTTGTCTTGCGGGACTCGAACTTGACCAACCACTGAGTCTATCTCCAAACCCAGAAAAGTGATCTTTGTGACTGGACCTTCTGTCTTTTCTGCGGCAATGGGTACCCCGAACCGTTCACACATGCTCTCGAAACTGCGTAGCAAATGTTTGCATTCGGACTCAGATGCCCCTACGAAAAAGAAATCATCCAAATAGTGCAGAGTATTGCAAGAGTCGGCTACCTTGCGACAGCAATATTCAAGAAATGTACTGAACTTTTCGAATGTTGAACATGCAATCGAACACCCCATGGGCATGCATCTATCATAGTAGAACTTTCCCTTGACGCAAATACCTAACAGGTCAAAATCATCCGGGTGAACGGGCAACAGGCGAAAGGCTGACTTAATGTCAGCCTTCCCCATGCATGCGCCCCCGCCAAATGCTTGCACTGACAAGACTGCGTCATCGAGTGTACAATATGCAACTGAGCAATCCTTTGGATCTATCTGTCCATTGACCGAATTATTCCTAGGCGCGGAAAGATGTTGTATCATTCGAAACTCCCCCGGGGTCTTTTTTAGAACTAGCCCGACAGGAGAGCAACGGAAATTTTCAAAGGGGGGTGATTCAAATGGCCCGACAATCCGCCCTAGCTCTACTTCATGCTTCAATTTAACCAACAAAACATCTTCCCTTTCCCGTGCTGATTTCAAATTAATTGCTTTTACCGTGACTCTAGGACCCTTGTATCCTAAGGGGAATCCCTTTGCAAACCCTTCATGTAAAAATTGTCCATCGCCCGTCTTAGTGTATGATTTCAGAAAGGGGATCATACGGAGCAGCCTAATCGGAGTTGGTGCGAGGGATCTAAAGCGTTCTTTTCCCAAGCGTACATTGGGATCTCCCGTGCGAGGTCTGGCCGCACTGCTGGCATCGGTGGGCGTACACACAGTCTTGCTTGACGCACCGGCCACTATTGAAGTTAAAACAGTAGCGCAAGCCCCTCGATTCACGCCCGAAAGGACGCCCTGTGGTCTGTCTGCGGCCCGCATTGCCTTCCCATTGATTTGTCTGGCCGTAGGGGCTGCCTTCACGAAATGCATTCCCGTAGTAGGCGGGGGTTGATTGCGTGCATGGTGCTGTGGCAGTCATGAGCCACAATTCACTATCAATGACAGCCCATGATCTAGTGGGTTCTCTTGCTTGCCTCAGCCTAAACTGCAAATCGTATGTGTGCCAGCCGTTGCCGCCAAATCTAGCCGCCGTCCGGACGGTGTCCATATACTTATACATCTCTAAGGCCCGAACTACATGCTTCTCGGTGTATATAGAGGCAAATACCAGAAATGCGCTGGTCCATTGCTCTATTGAGGTTATTCGCGGCACCCCTCGCTGCGGTTGTACCTGCAATGTCGACCCCGACAGTGCAATAACCATGGGTGCACTGCCGTCTGGCAAGGCCCCTAAATCAACAAACTCGCCTTTCCAGATTCTGTCCCGCAATGAGCGAGGAACAGCTGACCCCAGCGCCTCCCGAGGAGTTGCCCACACGGGAGGGTCATTGATCATAAGCCCCCCCCCCCCCCCCCCCCCCCTGCTGCGCCTGCTCGGGGCCCACATTTAAGTTTAATGTCTCATTACCCGCGCAAACAAGCGGCCAAGAATCGTACTCACTTGCGGATGGACCAGGTCCCCGCTGCTCCACTCCGGCGTTCGGCTGCGGTGCCTGGACGAGAGGCTCTGATCCGGGCTGGGAAGGCGGAGCTGTTGCAGTTGCAGTTCTCCGTGGACGTGAGGACCCGGCCTGGTCGACAGTTGTCCGCTTGGACTTCTGCTTAGCATTCGGCATTATAATTCCAGACGCGATGATACAATTAACGAAGTTATGAAGTTAATATAAAGTTAACCAATGATGAACTCCAAATGTACAAAATTCCAAATCCCGTCGTCGTATATAATTATTCCGAGAACTAAGTTGAAGTAAAAATTAAAAAAAAAACCGATGTGGAATCAAAGTATAGTAGCATCGACTACCATATATCCTCAATAAAGTCCAATAAATTAATTTGCCACCGAATAATGTCTATGACCATCCTCTAAAAAATCTGCAAGGTGAATGAGGATTCTCACGCCAACACCGTGAGAACCAATATATCCCGGCTAAAATAATTCCATATATAGATTCGAAACATACATTGCGCACATTCCGTTTATAGATACGCGTACATGAAAGAAGCCGCGCGGCTGACTCAAAGGGTGTCGGCATGTTATTGTTTTCTATCAAGATGCCGCTAAGGGTCATCACAGAAGAGAAGCCGCCGCGAACTCGTGATGTCACTGATGAATGTAAACCACTTATATCGCCCTTCGTTCGATAAAATTTCTTATATGTTTCCTGACTTTCCTCGATAGTTGTAAACATATACATTTCAGCTTTTTAGCTGCAGCATGTGCATCGTTGTATTCTATGTTTTTCGAAATAAAACATTGAATTGAAATTAAATTGAATTGATTTTTTTTAGAGGAGTTGCGGGAGCGGAGAAGTCGGTTTCAGTACGTTCTTCTATAAGTCCTCGATGGTGGAAGTTGGCGGGTGGGGAGTGGTTCTTATGTGTTGTGTGGTACTGGGGGGAGTCTGCTTACATTTTGTTTTATTTCATTTGACGATTAGTATACACGTATGTTTAGCTGCAGATTTGTTTTTCTTTTCCTCTTACCAAGGTGTGTTATTTTACATATTTCACATTTTATATATATTTACTTTAATTTACATTTAAACGTATTTTTAAAAAAGACAAAAGTAATTAAATAAATAGTTATAACCTAAACAATTCTTGAACAGTATCTTTGTGTTTCGTCAACAAAAAACTTGTTCATTTGCTATGTAATATCGTAGTTTTCATTTGAAATTAAGGAACATACTTTTACTATTGTACTCTTTACCATCACACCGAAGTTTAATATACATTTTGTATATTATTTATTGTCCTAAAATTAACATGAAGTTTATCACAAAGTTTTCCTTTTTTTCTTCAATAAAATAACCTATAACTAATGCTTTTTCATTAATATTCATTTGTTCATGAAAGTAATTATAATATAAGTTTTCAATAATTTTCCAAAAAATTCTAACCTTGTTACACTTTAACAAGACATGAAAAGTAGTTTCCGTTTCTTACATATATCACACTGGTCATTTTCCATTATACACCATCTGCATGAATTGATGGAAATATATTATGCAATATTTAAAAATTAACTTGCTTTATTCTTTTATTTCCTATTTGTTGAAATTTAAAATTGAATACGTTCTGCCAATTAAAAGAAACAGGTAAGTTCACATAATATTCCAAATAACGTATAACATTTGGTTTTTTGAAGTTTTTGTTTTAGGAGGGATAAATAACAATGTTTCGTCTTGAAACTAGATATATCAAGAAAATCGCATGTAGCTACTTCGATTATATTTGAATCGTTTTGTTTATTACTTAATTGAACATTCTTTAGAACGTATAATTTTTGTTAAACAATAGCATACGAAACATGTCTTCAATTTCGCGTATTCGAACTCAAATAATAATTGATGAATACCAACTTTACTATTTAACAGAATTGAGTCTTTCCAACTACCATTTGTAATCACGTGTTTTACTTTACAAATTCCAGCTACGTACCATATTAAAAACAATAATGTATAATTTTTAAATTTAATATGACTGTTTTTCCATAATATCTCATCTTCAATTTCTGTTACCTCAACTAAACCTCGATATTTAAATTCTGACCATTCAACAAGAACATTTTGGTAAAACTCTGACAGTCCATTTTGTAGACAAAGCATTCTCATATCTTTCTTATTCAAATTATATTGTAAAATATCTAGAAAAATTCCAATCTTTTCAATCCAATATCCAATTGCTTATCCAAGATAAATACAAAGAATTTATTTTCGATTCCATGTCTACCATATCAAGACCACTCTTGTTGACACTAATAAATTACCCTTGAAAGACGCATGAGGAATGTAGTTTAAATTTCTTACATGTTTATTTATACAGATATTTCTTTCCACTCTTTATCTTTCTGAACTCCAAAGAAAGGATATATAATTTTATTAAATGATTTAATAACAACATTAGGAGCAGGTACTAAAGTTCCTATATAAAAAATCTGTGAAACGATTAAGGCTTTCATAACAACCACTTTACCTTAAAACGTTAATATTCTCTGTTTCTAGTTTTTCAATATATTTTGATTTTTTTCATTTTTGTTTTCATCCCAAATTAAACATTCATTTTCCCTTTTATTTTCCCGATATATATTCCCAAATGTTTGATTGGTTGTTCAGTACTTTCCCCACATTCTCCATTCGCATAATCTGTATTGGGCTTCCCCTTTAAAAAGAGAAGTAAATGGGGCAACGTAATTTTTTAATGTTTAGAAACAACAACGACGACAACGATTGGAAATCGAAAAACAGAATAGCATACATTTTTATTTCAAGTTCTACTTGTGTTAATCTAAAAGAAGATATGATTCGAGAGACTCGAACCCAAAAAATAAAAATTGGTGGTTGCCCTAGGGGGAAGTTGTCCTAAGGGGTAGTTGACTGGGGTGGTGATCCGGGGTTGGATGTCCAGGGGGTAGGTGTCCGGATGCGATATTCTCTATATCTACATATGTGTATACATGTGTGTGTGTGTGTGTGTGTGTGTGTGTGTGTTTTGTGCGTGCGTATTGAAAAGAATATTGCAGGGAGGGCAGCTAAATCACTGAGCCTTACATTTACAAAGTGGGAACAAGTGAAGTTTTCATTAACTTTTAACACTGGGTTATTGAAGCCTCGTTTTAATTAGTTATTCAATTTTGTTTATAGATTATTTATATTATTCTGTCGCTCCAATTATGGGTATTCTGAGAAGGCTAGGAACGGTGTGGGTATGTGTGTGTAAAATCTCTTTGGTGGAAGTGTGGTCGGGTGGTGTGTGTGCGTGTGTGTGTGTGAGTGTCGTGTGTCATATGGTGGAGGTAGTAGTGTGTCTGGTTGGATGGAGTTATTTGTTTTATGTTACAACTAATTTTATTTTATTTTCCATCAATCGTACAATCTATGTAATTAAAATGTATTAAATCATGTAAGATGAAAATGTATTGCTGAGTGAATATAAACGTTGTAAAATATAATAGATATACATTGTATATTTATAAATATATATATTGAATAAGGCAAACTAATGGAACATGGTTGCTACTCTTGAGTTCCACGCCTTACAAGCGATCATCAGGAAACCGAGAACTAGACACTCCTGAACAAAAGATCAGAACTCATCTCAAAATGCCGCCATAAAACAAATTCTATCTCTGCAACTTTAAAAGAGACTATACCTATACAAAAATGAATACATAATTATGTACTAGCACCTTGGAAGCGACTATTTTGTCATACTTCCCCCCCCCCCTCCCCTCCACTCATAGGCTTTAACCTACGTGTTTACACATCCAGCGCAGTATACCTACGCATTAGGCTTTTATCGTAATGTAAACAAAAAAATGCATAAGTCTTTGTGAAGTGAATGAAATAATTTGTATTTCAATAATCAGAATGCAAACTGCATATATTAATGGGATTCGGTAACTTTGTCTTAGATTATGAAACAAAATCCTAGATTTAGCTCATGCTGCAATGATAATTATAACCTTTAGGTCAGTCAGGAACCCCATGACTTTTACAAGCCGATCGCCTATCTGATTATTAAGATATTTATGATTGGAAATCGAAATCAAATGTTGCGATTTTCTAACGGTTCTCATAACACTACAGTCTATCGGGGGAAACGATTATGGTAAAAACCAGTCACTCAAAGATTTGTTTACTTATTTCAGGCACTTCTTGATTATTTTGAAGCGCAATTTCTTTTTTTAGGGCTTCAATATTGCACCATATCATAGACACTGATAACACGTCAGGCCGTGCATCTCAGATTTAACATTTGTTATATATTACATTAGCCCCTTCACCCACGAGTAATTCTCATTGTATTACTTAAAGTCTTATTTTGAATGTTTGTGTACCCAGGTAGTAAAGTAATCATGTACTTTTAAGAATGATATCAGTTGCACGATGATTGCTTGTAAGGCGTGAAACTCAGGGTAGCAACCATGATCTATTGTATATATATATATATATATATATCCTCTCTGTAACCCTCTATTAATATTTCAACATTTGACTCTACTGTTTGACATCTTTCCTGCCCCACCCTCTCTTTATCTCTATCTCGATTGATATATGAATGAGGAAGTTAAATTCAGAATACAATACAAAACAATATACTGATTACAATAAGCTTATTTGCATTCATATTACCACAGGCATTCCAGTGGTACTACCCCTCTCAAACAGGGCTAACATTCCATATACTATCCCAAATCTATGTTTCCAAAGCTATTTTAAGGGACGTAAAACGGATGAACAGTGTATTAAAATAGGTGTCTGATTTATATTATACAAACATACATTAAACTACAACATCTAATACAATCATTGCCATTCTGTGATTTATGAATGAAAAACAGCATTGTAGAGTCACATACCTACATGAGTATCCTTACATGGTATATTGGAGAGGTACTTAAAGATCAAACTTTTTTGTTGTTATTATTAAAAAGGCTTTGCAGGTGTTTTTAACCCCTGTTACACAATGGTATTATTACTTTTAAAGTTGGTCGTTGGCAGACACACAAAAGATAATTCCCTATTTCCATTTGTCATACATTCAAAAACATTTTTCTACAAAATACGGCTCCTTAAAAGCAGGTACAAAATTGATTCAACCAAGAATTGATTGATACTTTTTTTTTAAAGCAATTTTGTTTTATTTCTCCAAATGTGTAATACAAACTATAACACACAATTGAATAAAATAAACGTGTTCAATATTGATTG